GCTTCAGATCTACCTGTGGGCAACAGGCTTTACAAAGCACGCTTTGAAATACTTGTTGAAGTCAAAGTGGTATAATCTAGAGACTTACAAAGCGATTAAGACTTATCACGATAAATATTGTGCGTAGAAATAAAATTAGCAATCTGATGGATTTTCAATTTAAATAGAGATAAAGATATAAAAAAATTGAATTAAAATTATTTAAACGATAAGTTATACAGAATGTCTTTTAACTTTTTAAATTTTTGTCTATTTGAAATCATATTTATTGTAGTATTTTAATTTTCACATTACACACTTAATCAATATAACATATCTATATACGTGCTATTTTCAGAGCTCGGATAATAAGCTTTACATTTATGAGTACAAGCTTTTTATATTTTATGCGTACAAGGAGTTTAATTTTAATTTTAGTGAATAAAAAAGCATTCAAACAATATGATTGCGTTAAATTATTTTGTGATAAGGCTTAATTCGCAAAAAAGAAATTTTTTAAATTATAAAATTATAAAATTAAATATTGATTTTAAATAAAGAATCCCATTTTGATAACAATATTAAAAGTTTTTTTAAGGATATTTTATATCGTTTGCATATAAATACACATTATTAACCTGAGCACCGTTGTAAGTCCACGAGCCAAATTTCATAATGCACGATTGCTCATCAAACGGAAATACTCCACGTTAATCTCGCAGGATGACTTGTAAATAGCCGGCGGTTTCCAAAATACTTCGCCGGTAAATTTCAGAGTGGGCTTCGTCATTAACGTACTTCGTAATTTCCATCTGCGCTGTACAACAAACGAGAGAAGATTAGAAGATTAAAAAGTTTGCTTTTCCACGCCGCTTTATATAACCCCATATATTCGTCTAATTTATTAATAAATAAATTTCTCGATTCTCTTAGCGGATCGCAAGTAAATTATTAATTTTTTTATTTGGAGAAAAATATCACATGGATCTCTCAATCGTATTTTATCAAAAAATTTCCGTTTGCAATTTACTGTTGTATAGCACAATGTCCGGAAGCCATATGTTTTCGGAAGGCACATATAACATTTCTATACCACCATACTCTTGTGGATTCCACTGTAATTTATAGTCAAACCATTTCTGCAAAGAACAAATAGAATTTGTAAATCTGTCTATAAAACGGTCGATATATGATACTGTTGTGTAAGTAAAAAAAAAAGTAATATCAAACCGACAGATGTTACCTGCTCTACCCAGACATTCGTTGTCATGACTTGATTCTTTAAATTCTGTAATAAATATCAATCGTTAATTTCCTGTAAGATTCTTAAATAATAATTTTAACAAATAAAGACTTAAATAATATTTTAAAGTCTCGAAATATTATTTTAATGAGATAGAGAGCACACAGTGTCCATATAATATACCATTTCTATTAATTGTGACAACTTTAATCCCAGCCAAACTGTTAAAGTATTCGAATTATACTAACAGGACGTATCAATCTATTATAATTGACAATAAATCGTCGTAAAGTCTCTTCGTATCGGGATTGCTTCGTAAACTTTGCTTCCTGTGTGAAAGAATATTTATTGAAATATTAATAATTATTGAAATAGTATATAGTTTAAACATCACACATATATGACATATATATGTAATGACATAATGACAAGAGAAAAATGATAATATAGATGCATAATATAAATAATCATCAGTTAAATTAATTCTGACGAAAGATTTGTATTAAAAAAAAATTAAAAACTTTGAAACTACATCCATCTTAAATTGAGTGCAACTAGAATTCAATTAAAATTCATGTGTGTGCATTAAAAATATTTTTTAGTCATTTAAAATATAGTTAAAATATTCTCTTTACAATGCTAAAATTTTTTTCAGCAACAAAATTTGACGATACGTTCAACACATATAATATGATAGAAGGACACACATGATTAATGCAATTTTCTGAGATTTATTCGCTTTTCTAATGAGAATGTCATCGATACGACGTTCCTCTAAATGAATCGTTTGATCCGATAATCAATCGAACTTACCGTAAACGATGCAGAATACATTGAGCAAAACTATGAGCACTGACGTCCGCATCTTCCCTGTACTGTTTACAAACGCGTGTGAAAGTAAGACACTCACGAATAGTACATCACCCCGTAGAAAACCGTCAGACCTGTCTGACACATGTACCTGGCAGTAGTCTTACACTAAGTGGCGTAGAAAAAAAAAAGCAGCGAGCGATATAACAAAAGCGCTTAAGATGCCGAACACTGGTGGCGTGCACTCGGCAGCGAAACACGTCGGGCGGCCAGCATCCCACTGGTCCATGCGATCGATATCCGAATCTTGCCGCCATGATACTCCCGCTGTCGGTTCAGGGCGCGACTTGTTCCACTTGCGCGCCGGAACGGGGCTCGCCTTGCATCTGCGCGTTTCGCAGGAAAGGAACGCAGCAGCGCGGAAATCGAGGAGCGCGACTTCAAAATGCATTCAAACGACCGCTGTCGTCGCGATAAGAGAGCGAAAAGCTTGGCTTTTAAAAGAATTGAAATTCAACTCGCAGCATAATCTCGGTGAGTTTAACTTCCGATGCTACGCGGAAAGTATTTTACGCTAATCGCTGCCTCTCTTTATTTCCATGAATTAACATTGGACTTGTCGTATTTATCGCCCATTCATCGAAAGCTGATCACAACGAAATAACGGTACATAACACTTTATGTAATACAGAAGCGCCATTCTTCGATTTTATATGGAAAAGAATATATTTTTAAAAATTATATAATTTTATTTAAATCCGATAATCTTTTTTGACAGAAATCAGCCGATCAAAGCGTTAATTTGCTAATTAAGTAAATTTAAAATAATATGTTTAATAAATAAAATGCAATATGTAAATAATATGTTACAATACCTTATCCTCGATTAATATTTTTTGACAGAAATCAGCTGATCAACTGTCAAAAATATAATCGAGGATCAAGTATATTGAAATAAATTCGATTAATGTTTTGACAGTTATCAGCTGATTTTTGTCAAAATTATTCGAGTTAATGTTATAAATAAATTTTATCCTCAACACCTTATCCTCGATTTATATTTTTGACAGTTGATCAGCTGATTTCTGTCAAAAAATATTAATCGACTTAAACAAACTTTGTATTATTTTTTTGAAAATATCATTCATTAGAAAAATTAAAATTTTGAAGATATCACAGATTAATTTATTTATCGCGTTTATCTCGAAAAGACTGCGTTCTAGAGCAAAGTGCAAAAGGACAAACTTGTTGAAAGCGACGAGATCTACAAGTTCACCCGTATTCCAACTGAGTAAGATTCACCTTCGAAAACATCGCCGTTTAATTTTAATTAATTCGATTTTTCGTGTTTATCTCAAAAAAGCCGAGCCCTAGAGCAATATATAACATTTAATTTTTATTCACAATATTTGATAATTTTATTAAAGTTAAATCAATTTAGATTTAATAAAAAAAATATCTAGGTAAAGATAATTTTTACGAAGAATGAAACATCGAATATGTATATATTTAACTGTCCTGAGATTGCGAGCGAAATAAATTTCACATATATCTTCAAATGAATCCAGCTTAACGATGAAATACCGACGCGCATAGAGGGTAAGTGGTGCCACGCGATTGTATCCCACTTTCGATCTTGTCCTCGTCCGGCCTGCACTAAATTCTAATATGGAAATATGTCGTGGTTTCGCGCGCGGATTAGTGCCAATAAATCGATTTTGGCATCGAGTACACCGGCAAATTCCATGGAAAGTCCCGCGCCAAGCGAGACACCAAAATTCCATTTGGATTATCAAGATCGCGGCGCCGTTTAATGTGCGGCTGGGATAAATTCTTAAAAGCTATCTGCACACAGCGAGAGCGCGAGCGAGATCCCAATTTGCGGAGGAGATCGTTCCCTCGAAGAGGACAATCGAGGGACTCGAGATGCGACTTTCGCTCAACATTCCGGAGGGAGAGGACGACGACGACGCAGATTTGTGTTCATAATACCGCCGGATAACGCGCCGTATTCCTCCGAAGGACGGTGCAATTATGGCGCAACATCTATCCTGGACGATGCGGCTGTCCTCGAACGTCGTGGCGTCTAAAAGCCACTTCTCCGCGCCTGAAATTGACCGATTCATTTGACACCACAGACGCAAGAGACTCAAGGGGATGTGAAATTCACTAAATTTACTCCTATGTGCATTCTGTGTTATTTTAACATGTAATTATATATTATAATTACAACAATATGGCCTTATGATGCGTTATAATAATAATAAACGTTTTAAGCATTATCGGTTTAATTTCAATTTATAATATCACATTATTTTCGTTTTTAAATGTATTTTATTTATTTGATTTATATGTATCAATTGTAAAATTTAATGTATGAGAAAAAAATTGTTCAGTCGAAACGTATACAGTTGCAATAGCTTCTTTAATGTGTTTCTATTCGTAATAATAAATTTTGTTTGACATCCTGAATTAAGGTAGCTTGTTTTAGTTGGCCATTCTTTTATCAATTTATTATATTACCAATATTATGAAATAATATTATAATATAATTATACTATATAAAATTGTAATGTATTATAGTACGTAATTATATATAATTATAATATTCTTTAACTTACTAACAAAAGATTGTGATGCTGGTAATAAATTTATACCACACGTGTGCTTTTGAGAAGAAGAAAGTGGAAGAGGAGGAGACGTATGCTTGGCGCAGATCGAATGTACTTAAGTTTTGAGTGCCTTAGGTACTTGCTCATCTACTTACGCATTGCTAAAACGGACGAGGAAAACCCTTTCTCACAACTTTCACAAACACATATGTATATAAGTATACGCGCGTAATATACTCAATTTGTCTCCGCATTATATCTCAGGCTTTGAATATAATTTATTGACAAACCATAGCGTTTGTTCAACAAGTATGTTTATCCAATGTTGGTTTCCAGCAGTACGTAACGCTTTTTATGAGAATGCAACGTTTTTTTAGGAGAATTATTCTAGTAAAAAATTTTACATTTTTAACAAATTTATTTTGTTTCTTTCTTCAAAAGTGCAATATTGCGAGAAGAATGAAATCCAAGTAATTTTTCTACTACCGTATACAAACCAGAGTTCTATGGAATAATGTAATTATTTATGCTTACCTCATTTAAACTGATATTAATATATAATTAATAACGTACACGATACACCTACATTTAATAACAGATTCACTTAGACGTGGATAATTTAAATGTTGCGACTGAAAATGAAAAATCTATAGCGAATAAAGTTTCAAAGAAACAAATGGATGACAAAACCATACTTTTCATTAACTTGCAGTGAATTAGAATTTAAGTTCAGTTTTAGAAGCAAAGTTACATAATGTTGAAAAATTGAAAATATAGCGATACGATATAACTTTCCTCGATATTTCTACTAAAGTCGACTTCGAGCTGGTCCGAACTGGAGAGAATCCGTCGTTAAAATTAAGATTAAGAGAAAGGGAGGAAAAAAAGACGAAGAAAATGATTTGTATGTAACACGGCGCATGGTGAAATATTTATCTTGTATTTAAATGTATTTATGTTAATTACATATATATATATATATATATTATATATATATATGCTATTATACATATATAATATAATATATGCTATTATATGTTTATTTTAATTATTATTATTTTATAAAGTTCAAAGTTAAATAAATAAACTTATCTTCCAAAGTGTTGAAATTAACTTACTTTTAATATTACCTTCATCTAATTCTACCGTCAGACTATATATTATACTTGATATTAAAATAATTACAATAAAATCATCTACTATTATTAATATTTAAAAATTGTATTTTTTATTCTTTGAATAATAATTATTTACAAAATTATATTTTTTCAATAATACTAGATAATCTTTTTGTAATTTCTCTAATATCAAGTATACAGTATATATCAGAAATTAAAAAAATAATTGTATTTAAAAGTTTAATAACAATTAGTATTTAAATACACTTGAAAACCAAGTATTTTCATAATATTGAAAATATATCTTGTATTGAATATTTCTTTCGAAGATCTACCCCACCAGCAACGAGGATCTTATACGGGCCGACGTCGCAAGAAAGTGACGTTCCCGAAAGTCACCAGGACGGTCACCAGGAACGATGTCCCGGGACGTGCGATCGACGGGCGCCGATTATCGATCAAGTGTACGTAAACACATACCCCCCATCTTCAGCCCACCCACACACGTGCACGTATACATCGGGCCGAGGCACTTAGCGTATGTTTGTTTAGTGCCTTTTACGACTATATCGGTGAGAGGGTCCCCGCCTGTGTTAAGACAGGGGCCAGTAGTCTGGCTGGTTAGCTGGGAGTCCTGCGGCGCCGCGCTTCGAGAGAGGGTCATTTATAACTGTTATCGTGAAACTTACTAGCCCACTTACTACCCTCCGCTGTCTGTTCCCTGCCCTTTCCGCCGCGGGACGGCAGCAGCAGCATTCCATCACGAT